TGCTCCCGAATTTTCTTTTTTCTTCTTTCGAGGGCTATAAATTGAGCTTCGTTCAGTTCGATTTCAGGGTTGTTTTGCCGTTCTTCTTTTTTTGCTAGTTAAATGTCTCATGCCAAAAACTCGTCTTAATTCTGAAAAATCTTCCTTGTAATCTCTTCATAATTGGCTCCTTTCTTCGGGTCCTTTGGAGGGAGAGTAAATTTCCATTTGCTTAATTTCGTTAGTAATATCAGGATTAGCCAAGTAAAAAATATAATCTTTTTCGGCTGCCGAAACTTTCTTGCCTTGGGCTTCTTCTCCTGGCTCATTCTCACAACGGATAAAAACTTTCTTTTTACTTTTCTCTTGGTCCCATTGGATTTTGGCTCGGGTATTTCATAACCATTCTAAATAAATGTCTTCGGCTCCGACTAAATTAGGGGTATGAGTAGGATTATTGAAAAAGCAGACTAACTCCTTGGGATTTAAAAATATTTCCTTTTTTTTGGGGTTTTGGGGCTCTTGGTAGTCGTGAGGTCTGGTTCGTTGAGTTTTCCCCGATTTATAACGGATTACTATTTTTTCCATTTCTCCCCAGTCGTTTTCGTCGTTTTCCTCTAAATCAACCACCAAGAATTTAGGCTCTTTTTTGCTGACTTGAATAAGGGCACATTTTCCTTTTTTGCTGTTCTTTTCTTCTAGGTCGTCCCAATGGAGAACTAACGGGCAATCATCACGGGAGCAGGACAAATGACTAATGCCGATAAAGTAATTATGACAAAACTCCAAAATAAGGGCCTTCCAGAGGTCTTTATGGGGATTTTTTTCTTGGGGATTTAAATTGGGATGTTCTACCATGACATTGTTTCTTTGAGTCGGGTTAGTAGTTGTTGGATTAGCTTTTTGTTCTGCTGAAATAAATCCGTTCGGCCACTGGCTTCTACCAGTTTTTCCAACTGGTTAAAAATCGGTTGGGCTTGCTGAATATGTTGGAATTTCTTTTTCAGAGTTCCCAAGTTTCAGTTTTGATTAGTGTTAATTCCTACTTCCTGGGCTCATTGGGCTACTTGTTCTCATTGCTGAACTAGCACTCGGACTTGCTTATCCGTTAAATCGGTTTGTGTCCCCGTAGTTTTTTGGGCTTTTTTTAATTGCTTTTTTTCCTGGTTAGCCAGGTCAGTTTTTAAACTCTGAATAACTTCTCGGCTGATTTGGAGTTTTTGGAGAATTTGGGGCACAGTTTGGCCGTCTAATTTCTCTCGGGCATCTTGGTAAGAAGCAAAACCACACTCCTCGCGGAAAAACTCATCCATAGCCTCGGCATCTTTTTTAATGTCGTTTCGTTCTTTTTCCAAATTCAAAAAGTTTTGGGCCTGGGGATTAATGGTTAAGAGTTCTTGTTCTCTTTCTTGCCAGTGTTTATTTAATTTGGTTATTTCTCACCTTAATTGTTGGGCTTGTCAACTCATATTCTAATAATCTGGTATTGTTTCCAACTTGGCTAAGAGTTTATTAATCATTTTCTCCCGAAATTCATTAATGGCTTGTCTATTTTCTCCCTCTTGTAATTCGGGAGTTATCTCGACTAATTGCTTAATCTCTCGTAATACTTCGAGCCAGAGAGCAATATCGGTCAGGGCTCTTTCTAGGGGACTCATACTAACGGAATAACGGAGAGGCATGATTATTTAACTGGGTTTTTACCACTGTCTACCAGAGCACAAGCATTAGCAAAAGGAATAACTCCCCCGATGACAGTCGGTTGAAAATAAAACTTGGTGGAACCACTAGCGGCAATGGGTTCACTCCGTATGCCGTCCTCGGCAATAATCGTATAAGCAAAGGAGTTAATATCTCGGATTTGGACTTTTACCTTGTTGAGCATTTTCCGTTCGATAGTTTCTAAAAACATGGCCTTTAAATTAACTAACTCGAAATTACCCACATCGGATAAAAATCGAGTTTCGATTTCTTGTAAAAAGTCGGGGTCAATCATTAATATTTGGTCCCTTTTGCTTTGGCTGTTGGCAATAACTTTGTTCCAAGTAGTCGAGTTGGGTTTTTGGAAGCCTTTATTATAATCCGAACTGTCTTCCAGCATAGCCGAGGAAGTTTTTTTAATCCAAGAAATTACGGCTACGGCTTTATCGAGGCTGTCAATATTACACTTGTCCTGGTCTCATTCTTGTCAGGCTTTCGGGTTATAAAGGTCTTTTTGACACATTAACTCCATAACCTTTTTGCGAATGTCCCGAGTGGCTTGAACTTTCATATCGTCGATTAATCGTTCCGACAATTCAGCCAGGATATCCGAGTTTTGGAGGGCTCGTTTCATGACTTGCTTGTTTTGGATAGACGGATAAACATTATCCACGATAATCGGCAAACGGCAAGAAAAAACTTCGGGCAACTTTTTAAAGTTTTCTCCCGTCAGTTCTTTTTTTCATTCTACTCCTTCGAGGGGTTGGGTGCCGATATATTCTCCAAAGGCTCCGTTATATTCGATGTTTCTTTTTTCGAACACGAGAAACGGATTATTAGCATGAATTAACTTAATAACTCGTTCTTGGATTACTCGGTCTGATAAATTTTCTAAAATGGGGTTTAATTGGCTATGCATAATTATTTAGGGGGTGGTATTTTTTTTGGGTAAGTTCGATTTTTTTGTCTAATTTTTGGGTTAGATTATCGAGGAAGTTATTTTTGTCTTTCGTCTCTTTTTTGTCTAATTCCACTTTTCGGGCTGTGAAGGCTTCTCGTTTTCAGTCATCTCGTTCTTGTTCTAAACGGTCAATAACTTTGTCTCGGGCTAATTTGTCTTGTTCGGATTTCAAATAAGCATTTTTTCACTCTTCGGCTTTGCTTTTTAATCCTTGCTTTTCCGTTTCGAACGAGGCCACTAATTTTTGGTGTTCCTCACTATTGCTTAACGGATTTATTTTTTCGTTGTTTTCGTTCGTCATTTATAGACAGTTTATAGGCAGTAGGGCTGGGGTTTCCGTGGAAATTATTCCCTTAATATATTAGGAAATTATTTTGCTGCTTTTTTCGATTATTTTTTTGGAAAGAAATCACCAAAATCAGAATTAGCACTTTTTTTGCTTCGAGGGAGGAGACGAATCACTTTTTTCTTTTTTGTCTTTTGAGTTTTTTTCCTATAAGAGATAGTCATAAAGCATAAAGCATAAGTCTCAAGTGTTCCTAACGAAACACATATCCTAAATAAAACCTAAATTCTTTTATAAGATAAGCATATGGGGTTGGTAAGGGGGAAAACGAAAATCCCAATCAGGAGCATTTTTGGCAAGTAATATTTATTGCATAAATATTAAGGGGTAAGAAAGGAAGAAAAAAATGCTATACTCCTCCTCTGCTTGCCTTCGGAAAAGACTAAAATTATAATTGGCCTTATCTCATTTATGGCA